GAGTAAAACAACTAGAAGAGATGGGAAAGGAAAGGCAGAGAGAGGCACCACAGGGAGCAGTTAATGATTCTATGAAAGGACCTGGAGTATCTGACATTAAAATGCCATGACTGAATGCACAACCACGAACTTTTAAATGCACAAAGAAAACAAAACGTATTTTGTCCCAATCACATACGAAATCACAATACATGTCACGCAAAAATATCCAGCTATGCCCAAATTTTATGGAACTGCTGGACTTGGTGGAGTGGCTGGAGTCAAATATGCTCCAGGCTTACAGAAAGGTTCTAATTTAGAGCAATACTGAGTTTCCAAAGCCTTCAATCAGCTACACAAATTTAAGTGTCACTGTAAGAGCGTGTCAGGTTCTCAGTCACCCAGCACAAAACAGGGGGTGTGAATGTGAAAAGAAAGCAAGACAAAACTGCCTCTCCCCCCATCACAGGGAGATCTCACTTTGGAAGGATCTAACTGCTCTCCCTTTGCCCTCTGGAAAAGTGCAAAGGCAAAAAGCTTCACTTCCAGCCAAGATGGAACAACAACAGCACTGCCCACCACAGCACCCAAAGCAACTCCCCGTGGCAGAACACGCCACCTTTCTGTGGGCACCAACACTCTGCAGCTTCATTTTATCAGGAACAGTTAAGAGCTGACCTGCTGGTTTAGGTGCTCTGGAAATCAGCATCAAAACCAACACCCACAGAAAATGGAACTGAACAGAAAACCACATCACAACCAAACAGAAACGGGCCATCCAAATAAACCCCTTGGATACAGCCCTTGGCTACAGCAAACATAAGCAACAAGTGCTCTCAGACAAAACCCAGAAGCATTTTCTGGAGCTTCCTCGAAATGATGAAGTGGGGAAACTTCCTGGAGGAGCTGAACTCCTTTTTCGGCTCCTAACAGGGAAAATACAGGAAGAGCAAAAACTACTCACACCTGGGGCATGGCTCTGTAATTGGAGACACAGGTGGTTGGCATGACCAGTTAATGTGAGGAAATAAAAAACAAGGAGGAAAAAAAGAAGCACTGAATACTTGGGGTTTGTTCTGTTTCTCAGTTATCACACCTTGGCTATCAGTATTGCACTTATTATTTATTATTGCATTTATTAAAAACAGGAATTCGCAGCACCTGATGCAGTCACCACTTAGCTGTCAAATCATTACAATTTCCAACTAATAAAACACTCGGTATTATTATTATTATTGTTGTTGTTATGTGATAACTTCAATGCACCTCGATAATGGAATTTTTATTCCTATGTGACAAAGAATAATACCTTTCTAAACCCTCTCCTCTCAGCATACCAGGTACGTGACACCATGCAGCAGCAACGTTGATGGGGCTGCTAATAATGCTTTTTTTTTTTTTTAAATGGGAAGATGAGATTTAACCTGTAGTGCAAAACAATTGTAAATGCAACACTGTGCTCTGCACAAATAACCTGAAACATAATGCAAGTCCGTGCTTTTTTTGTTTGTTTTTTTTTTTTTTCCAATGGCAAGCAACAGCTGTGCAACAGGTGGGAACCAGTAACTTATTCAAGCCGGGTCTATCACAAACAGATCCCGCACTGAGAGTTAACTTATACTAACAGCAATTAACTATGTTAACAGAAATGTTAACAGTAACCAGGCATCTCTAACCAGCTTCTTGAACGCCGTTACCAAATCAAAGCAGAATTTATTTTTAACCTGCGGGGGTTAACGCACAACAAGTGTTAATTACGTGGCTGCAAACAATAATTACCGCGACAATGTTATCTTTATACATCAGCTGAGTCGGAGGGGCCCCCAAGGGTCATCGAGCCCAACCCTCAGCCCTGCACAGGCCCATCCCCAAGGGTCACACCCCGTGCCCCAGAGGATCCTCCAAACCCTCCCGGAGCTCTGGCAGCCTTGGGGCTGTGCCCACTGCCCTGGGGAGCCTGTTCAGTGCCAACCACCCTCTGGGGGAAGGACCTTTTGCTGAGCTCCAACCCAACCCTGCCCTGACACAGCTCCAGGCCATCCCCTGGGGTCCCGTCCCTGGTACCCCCAGAGCAGAGCTCAGTCCTGCCCTTCCCGCGGAAGTTGTAACCGCAACAACAAACACTAAATAAACACCAAAACACTCAACGCCTGCTCTTCGGGACCCTCACCCGGAAACGCAGAATACTTCCCCAAACACCCGAATCCCAGGTAAAAAAAAAAACCAAACTAACCCAAACCGAAGCAAAGCGAGGCAAGACGAGGAGGGAAGACTCCCGTACTGCTGTCGGTGGCTCCGGGCTCACCCGGGACGGTGTCCCCGCGCAGCCTGCAGCCCCCGCCCAGCCGGCACCCCTTCCCGCTCACCTTGGCCCTGCCGGCCTCCAGCTTGCGCCGCCGCGGCTCCTCCGCCGCCGCTTCCATGAGGGGAGGGACCGGACCCGGCCCGCGCCCCCCGCGCCGTCACCGCGCCGGGGGCTGAGGGGCCGCGCTCATGGCCGCCCCGCGCCGGCGCTGCCCGCCCATTGGCCAGAGCGCGCTACCTGGCGGGGCCGCCGACCAATGGCGAGAGCCCTCCGCGGCTTGAGCCCGCCCACCCGCGCTCAACGGTGCCTGGAATAGCCCGGGCAGGGGGCGGGGCCCCGCCCACGCCCCGCCCCTCCCCTGCGGGCGGTGGCCGCCAATGGGAGGCGCCCGCGCCGTTTCGAACGGGCCGCCAGCCACGGCCCCGCCCGCGGTGCGAGGCGGCCAATGGCGCGCGGGGGGCGGAGCTCCCGCCCTTTGTCCCCGCCCCTGGAGCCGCTGAGGGAGCGACCGGGGCCGCTTGAGGGAGCCGCGGCCCGGGACTCCCTTTGGAAAGAGTGGGAAAGCGAAAAGAGCTCTCTTTTACCGCGGCGGCCGCGATGCGCAGGGGCATTTCCCAAGGCGTGGCCGAGTTACAAGAGTCTCCTGCTTTTATTTAGTGACCTGGTTAACAATTCCAAGCGTTACCTAGTGTTGTTACACCCACTTCCGAAACCGCTCCTCCCACGGCACCGCCCGAATTTGAGTGGGAAGTCCCCAAAAGACCCCATCGTCATCTTCTCCCACCTCCTCATGTCCTTCGGCACAGCGCCTCGCCTTCTGGAACGGCTCCAAGGCTTCTCTGAATAGCTCTGACTGCTTTTGTCAGGTGTCATTCTTCGTAGTCTCCTCACCTGAGTTGGCTGATTTCTTTGAACTGAGGCACAGCCATTTTCTGTGGTACATTCTGCTGAAAAGACTATTAGTTCTTGTCTCGGTTTAATGAGACACAGGTGTTTTGCTGAGGGTGAGTTGTGAGGAAAACCCAAACTGAGCAATTGTAAATCCGAAATTAGGAGGCCGCAATTCAGCAAAACGTGGACAAAGGAAAAATAACATCCCTTTTATTAAAAGATATGTGTGTATTGGCAAAACAACGAAAGAACACAAACAAAACAACCAAACAACAATCCTGTACCCAAAAATAATCCCCTTCAAAACAAACAAACAAACAAAAAACCAAAAATAAACAGTTCTGTTTGTGCCCTTTGGTGCAATTCTAAGCACAGTCAGCGAGGGGCGCTGTTGAATCACGGGTGGTCCCCACGTGGGGTTCCTCTGGGAAAGGGGAGAAAAGAAGGAAAGAAAAAAAGGAAAAATAAAAAGGTCATTCCCAACGGGAACTCACTCTATCCTGCTGGCTGGGTCGTGTGGCGTGGCTTCTCCTCTCCCTCCGTGTGCACAAGAACTGCTGCCAAGGAAACGGAGGAGGGGAGACCTCCCGAACAGAGGTGCTCTTTTCTTAATATTGAGTATTATTAACCTTAGAGTCACCTGCAAAAACGGTGGCTTCTTTGCCTTTTGAAGACATTCAGTCACAGTGGAAAATACAGGCTTTAAATCAAATTAGTTACTTGGCTCAGCTCAGAGTTAACCCGAAATACACTGGGTTTTCCTTTCCAAGAAACACTGATATCTGTGCATCTTCATGAACCAGCAGCCCCTTTTCTATCCCTGGCCCTTTCTATGCATTTAGCCCTTAAGTTGGGCTCTTCTGAAGGGTCATTAAAGTGTGGACTTTTTGCCCCAAATTCAGACATTACATTGTCCAGGTCCTGGACTGGACCTGCTCCTATGGACTGTTGCTATCAAGAAGTATGTGGGAAGAAACATGTTCTTGTTCTCACAATAAACTGTTTTGTAGCAATTTCCTAATCTCCCACTTTACAGACATCCAGAGCCAAGTGAAGATTAAGTTTTAACCCACTGCAGAGGTTTCTGGGGGACAGCATATGTTGGCCTTACTCCACCTTTTTCTCCCTTTCTCACTGCAGAAGGTGGAAGGAAGGGAAGCAGCTGCTTGGAGCTTAATTTATAGGTGGTTTTAAACCACAACACTGAGAAGTGAAAGGAAACTTAGGCTTAGAACTTAGAAGTTTCTTAAAAGAAAAAGAAAAAAATATCATGGTGTTTATAGTGGCAAATTTGATAAATCAGATGTCACTTAAAAGCAATTGAGTTAAAATTAGTTGCTGCTTTGACTTCTTGCTCCAGTTAAAAATGAATACTTCGTGTTTCATGGAATCACAGGATGGTGTGGATTGGAAGGGGCCTTAGAGATCAACTTGTTCCAACTCTTTTCCTCTTTCTTATTAAGCCAAAATGCCCAACCTTTTCCAAACAGAACCCCCATACATCTTGGTTTTGATTGTATCCTCTCATTTGTTTAAAGATTGTTGGCCTGTCCTCACTATCTACTTGCTAATTAAATAAAGCCAGTTCTTACAAGTCTTCCTCAGAACTTACACTTTGTAAATGCACCATTTTAAAATCTTTTTTTTTCCTGTACTTCCTTTCCCTCTAAAGCCACCAGGTCTAAAATTAGGCACAGTGTCCTAACTCTGACTTCAGCACTGCTAAATAGAGCAGAATAATTATCTCCTGCGAGGTGCACGTGGCCCTGCTGTTACTCCCTGGTAGAATTAAACTTGTCTTAATCTTAACACTGGTAAATGGAGTACTTATACCTGGGTCTTTTCTTTTTCAACCTTTCTTATAATGCTCTATCTCTTTAATTTTTCTTGTCATTAATGTGCTGGCCATTTGCTTTACTGAAGGTACACAAGCATCTACACCTGGAGATTAAATTGTTTATGTTATGTATTGGCACTACAAACTCGGCAACCAGGTTACAGGCACGAAACTCTGAGCTCCTTAGAAGGCTCTGACAACACAAGAGGCTTAGTAACACGGCCAGGGGAAGGCTGGCAACCACTAAGAATGATAAATAACAAATAGATATTCAGCCTCAGTCTCCCTCCTGTGAGGGAGGCGTCACAACCTGCAGCACATCATTTTTTTTCGAGAGGAATGGCAGGGAAAGCTGTGCCTGTGACACTGTGGTGAACACCTGTGCTCGTTCTTGGAGTGAAACCAAAGCTTTTATCTTCTTCCCTCAGTTTCTCCCAGTCTTGTATTATTGTTTTTTGAACAATGGAATTATTCCCCTATGAAGGTCGTGGAGGGGAAGGAATGACCACTGAAAACCTCTCTGCCTTTGTTTAGCTTTTTTAACCTGGTTTTGCCCGCCTGCTCTTCCAGGAGACCGCTCTGATGGCAGATCCTTCTGTGGTGGATCACCTGACACGGCTGAAGCTCAAACTCCTGGAAAAGGTAAGGGCATAATTCTGCAGTGGCCACCTTTGCTCTGCTCCTTGCCCCTGCCTGTTTAAGCATTGACATTGTATTTTAAAATGTTATACCTCTACTGAGGTACAGTGGGGGTCTGTAGCCAGTTGAGAAGGTCTTTCTTCATGCAAGCAGAGGCAGACCAATGTGCAGCGGTGCTACAGCTACTGTCACTTTTCTTAAATAACACTGCACAATTTTACTTGGACCTACAGCAAATTAAACAGACTGTGATTTTGTGGGAGATGTCACCAGTTAGCTCAAAACCAGCTTGAGTTGTGACAGGCAAAGTTCAGGAGTAAATTCTGGATAAAGAGGCCCTCGGGTTGTTTTAAGGCAATTTCATGTCTGGTGAAGCCTGGGCTGGAATATGGGCCATACCATGTGAGGTGCTGCACAGAATCCCAGCTGCCCTGGGTTGTGATTCTGCACTCTTGTGTTCTCCACTCTGCTCTGTTCCTCCACCCACAGCACATCTGACATCCACTGGTGTGGATCCTCTGCTTCAAAATCCTCCAGAAGCCACTCAGGGTGTTATCTGAGAGCAGAGTATTCTGAGTTAGAAGGGACCCACGGGGATCATCACTTGACACTATCAAGTTCTTCACACAATCCAGCTCTCTTCCCCACAAAATAAATCATGTATAGATCTCCTGATTCACCATGCTATCAATTTTCAGGTCTGGAATGGCCTGGACAGTTGGAAGCATGACTTTTCTGTCACTGTAACTAGATTTGTAGTGGGAACCACCATTTGTCTCCACTTCTGCTTTATTCCCTCCATCCCAACCTATGTCATAAGGTAGGGCTGGAGATTCCTGCGAGCTTTGCTGCCTGACTCACACCCAGTTCTTGTTATGGTTCTACCAACAGAGACTCCAAAATGAACAGGAGAACCTGGAGAAGATGGAGTCATCTCTCCCAGCTGCAAGTAAGAGAAGCATTTGTCCTAATTATGGACATAATTTAGAAGGGGCTTGGTGATACTCTCAGGAAAGAGTTCCTCAGTTGATCATCCCATCCCAGTGCACGTGCACTGTTTGTAATTATATTACTTACAGAATTAAAGGCTACCAGGAGAAGCTCAATGACATTTCTAGATTGTAACCTGGGCTCCTGTTCATTCAGCTGATGGACAGATAGCTAGAAACTTCCAATGCTGTGGCCAAAAATTAAAAATCCCTATAACAACTTCGAGTTTCAAAATCCAAAGTGATGCTTTCCAGAGCACGTGCCAGGCATGTCTCCAGTGTACCTGAAAACATTCTTCCTTATTTTCATTTCAAGCAAGTTCAAAACCTACCACATGTGGGGAGAACTGAAGAGGAAGTTGATTCAGACCAAAAAAAAAGAAAAAGAAAAGCTGACATTCAAAACTGAGTTTGTTTTGATGTGTCTCAACAGTCAGTCACACTCTGCATATACAGAGTACATCTAGAAACTTTCAGGCTGAAATGAGTTCCTAAGCCAGGAGGTTGAAAGGGGGCTTTGGAGAGCCATCTAAAGAGTTTCCTTTCAGAGAAGTTGCGTTGCCTTTATAGAGCTGTGGAACAGCTGTGGCTGCACAGGTCACAAAGTCGTTATCCATACAGGTATTTCACAGGAAAAGTCACCAAAAGCCTTTTGTGGAAGAAGCCAAGCTATCTTATAATGCACTTTCCAAATTAACCTCACAATGTAGGTGCTGTAATAGCTCTGTATTTGTGATCCTTTGAGAAGACAATGGACTTTTCCTCCCTCAGGGAATAGACCTGAGGACATGCTCCAAAGTGCCCTGAGGCGGAGGAAAGATCTGCTGCAGGAGCTCAGGGTAAGAGCCCTCCCTGGGGCCAGGAGCAACAGAAAGGGCCCAATTCCCTGCACATCCACTGCTGCTGTGGATTCAGTGTTTCCCTGTCCTTTGGTTCTTGGGCTGGGCAGTATCAGTGCTTTGCTGCTTTGGAATGCAGAGGCTGGACAGCTAATCAGGGAGGGGGCCTGGGGAGCTCTCTGGGTACCAACCCTCAATGAAATGTTTTCCCAGACTTTTGGCTTCTCGTTCTGCACTTTTTTTTTTTTTCTCCTCGTTCTTCTTTTGCTTGTTCTTCAAGATATGTGGGGAGGAAAACTTCCCTTGTGCTTACTCAGGCACTGGCTGAGGTTCCCAGGGGGTAATCCCATCTAGTGCAGAGAGCATAACAACACTACCTGCCTTCCTGTGACCGGGTTTTCTTTAAGAAGAGGCTTGATTTTGCAGGAGCAGCACCTTCTGGAAGAGCTTTCACAGCCACCTGCAGCAGCTGGAGGACACTATCACAGAGCTGTCCCCCCACAAGTCTACCAGATCCCTTTTCCAGCTCCCCAAGTGGAGCCACCAAGGATTATCCAGCAGACGGTAAGGACTGTCTCCCGGGAAACACCACCAGCACTGTGCCAGTCTGAGACAACAACCATCTGGGGGCTGGATGGCATTGCCCATCCCACCAAAAGGGAAGACACACCTCTTGCCCTTCTTGTGTGGGACCCTTGCTGCCCTCAGCAAAACCTAGGGAAGTCACCTCAGAGATAAGGCCCCAAATTAAGGATGTGCATGGTTTACCCTGGGGGCAAAGTGGCAGAAGGAGTGGCAGGATCGCCCAGGCCTGGCCAGTCAGCCAGTTTGTAATGCACATCACTGCCTGCTCGTGCAGCCCTCAACCTCAGCAGCTCCTCCCCCAGGATCCCACGGGAGACAGTGCCCCAAGTATTCCCACACTCCAGGATGATGGCAGCCCTTCCCAGAGACGGGGTGGAGCTGGCAAAAACCAACCCAAACTTCTCCGCTTCCCTTCCTTTTTCCAGATGCCACCTCAGCCTGCCACCATCATCCAGCAGCTACCTCAGCCGCCCCCTCTGATCACGCAGGTGCCCCCCGCCCAGCCCTTTGCAGCCCCCCGCACTGGAAGCATCAAGGAAGGTGAGGTGCTCTCTGTGTGGCAGCCAGCTCCCATCAGCAGGCCCGGGGAGGGCAGCTGAGGTGTCGCGGCAAGTGGGAGGGGGCGCGGGACAGCGTCCAGGCTGTTTGGTTAGTGGAGCTGTGGGAATTGCACTCCGTAACTGCGGCGGGCACCAGTTCTGAGAGGCTTTCTCAGACAAACTCTTATTGGTAAAACAAAAGAAAGAAGGACTACAAACTCCAGGGGAGCTTGGGAAAGCACAACAGCTCAGCTCACGATGGCACTGAGCATTATTACCAAGGTCAAAAGAGTGTGCACAGGTGATTCCAAAATTAACAGCCAGGCTTCTAAAATCTGGTTTTATTCTTCTGCCCCCTCTTAACCTGCTGTTCAATCTCCTCGGGCTTTTATTATGCCCCGTGTTTGGAAACGAGGCAGAACAGTGGAAAGTGCTGTTCCAAATATAGTGCAATGCCAATAAAAGAGCTTGTTTCCAAACAGAGGTGGATGCTACTGTGAAATAATACATGGACTAAAACCTGGGATGACTTCCCTGGTTCAACCTGCAGGCAAAGTTTTCTTCAACCCACACAGAAATCTTCAGTCACGAAACTACAGTATTTCTCTGCTCATTCTCCATCTGAGTGCCTGGATTTTTGAATAAGGGTTTATTTTCACAAACAAAATAGTCTCGATTCATGCATGACTCTTCTGAAGCTGCCACGTGTAAAATACTTTTCGTATGACCAGTAAAAAGGAGAAGGAGAGTCGCCTTGATTTTTTTTCCCCTACTGTTTTTTCTCACCTCTTCCTCTTCACCTCCCCCCCAGGTGAATCATTTCCACTGCACAGGCCCTTTGTGATCCCAGAGATCGTGGTGAGGAGGTTTGATGTGCCTGCAGTGACAGTTTGAGGGTTAAGGGACTAGATGATCTCACAGGTCTTTTCCATCCTTTATGATTCTATGAGTCAGTGGACTCTCAAGGTGGCACTGCAATGTCACGTAAATTTGAGGAAACCTCTCACATGGAAAGCAGTGGAGAGCACAGTCAGGAGCCCGTCCATCCTGGAGTAAGGGAGAGCTACAGCCCCAGCCCCTGTCCAGCCTCTCAGCATAACCAGAGGTGTGGCCTTGCAGGGAAATGAACAGACAGAAGATGCTCATCAAGCAGCTTTCCTGTAGAAGGGAGGAGAAAGAGAAAAGCTGGTATGGACAGTCTCATTCCTAGGTGTTAATTTTGCACTGTCTGGGCAAATAATGCCGATACTCTTCGTGTGCCCCCTTCAGCTGCTTTGCCCTGCTTGCAGTGACCCCTCTGCACGCCGGAGGGTACTCCCTGCTGTCTTGCCTCTCCTGCTCGTCACTTGTTGGTGAACCTCATTTTTTCTTCCCTGGGGGGGGGGTGACCTCTTCCCAGACATGGTGGAGATGATGCTGATGCAGAACGCTCAGATGCACCAGATCGTGATGCAGAACATGATGCTGAAGGCTCTGCCGCCGGCGGCGTTCGCGCAGCCCACGGGGGCCAGGTCTGCCCCGCCCCAGCACACGCAGCAGGTAAAACCCCCGAGCCTGGGGGGTGTCCTTGCTCACACCAGGCAGTGGCTGATCTCCTGGGGAGGGTACAGGGCCTGGACAGCACACACGGAGAGTCTGGGATGCCTTAACAGCTGCACAACCTTCAAACCCACGGCGCCAGGAGCCTGTTCGTGAGACGGCACAGCCCACCCGCTGGCCGTGAGGAGCGCTGCGACGGCACCCCACGGCAGAATGTCTGCTCACAGGCGCAGAGTGGAGTCAGTCCAGCTCTGAAAACCACCTGGCCTGTAGGGCTGAACCACTGACACAAGATACCTGCGCTGAGCATCTGCTGCTGCAGGTCCCTCGCTGCAGACAGCAGAGGGAAAAGCCGGAGAGGGGCCTTTGGCAATTGGAGGCAGTAACAGAACAATGGGGAAGGTGATAGAACTCCTTAGCATCCTTAAGTGCTTTGGAAAAATGTCCAGTCTCTCCTCCATGGCATTTATTATCTAAGAAGAAAGGAAGGTTAATCTTTGTAGAGGAGGGGATGTGCTAGTGTTGCAGTGCCTTCCTCTGTACTTTTCCTACTCCACAACCTTCCTTGTGGTGAAAGAAAGACCCCTGATCCCCACCTCCCTCTCCAGGCCATCCTGTCACTCTGCATTTCCCTGACATTGACCGGTGGAATAAACTGGCGGGAGTGGGATCTGAGTGCCTCTGAGTATCAGGAGAAATATGAAGTCACCAGCTGCTTGTTGGACCTTCTGTACTGGTGGCTGAGTGACAACCACAGCCCCTCAGCCAGTGACCCTTCCCGTGGGGGGGCACGGCTTTCTCCATCCACCCTTTTGTCTCTCTTCCAACCAGGCCCTGCAGCTTGCTGCTCCCCTGGCTGTGAGAGCAGACCGTCCCAGGCCACCCGTGGTGCACCACCACCACCACTACCCTCCCACAGGGGTGCTCCCAGTGCCTCCCAGGGGCTTCCCAGCCCCGTCCCCGGCGCATCACTGGACCTGGACGTAGGCAGCTTGCTCTCTACCCAGCCTAGGTAAGCAAGCAGGCAGCTGTGGCAAACCCTCCTAGCCCATTCTTCCTGCACAGGTTGGGGTAGCAATGCAGATTGTGGAATTAGGAGCCCTGCCACACTGTGGGGCTCTTACCCTGGCTTCTGGGTCTCCCTGCCAACCCAGCAGTCACCTGCTGAACAAGGTGGAGTTGTGCATTTTACATTCAGGCTCAGGTTCCCAGCAGGATTTACCTTCTTAAAACAGTGGAAATTCTTGGGGAAAAAAAAAACCCCGCCACACTGCTGCATCGGTGGGAACACAGCTTTTATTTCCATTCTGTGGCTCTTTCAGGGCCTCAGTGAACAGAAGGACAGGATGGAGGCGGCTGCAGCCCTGGGTCCCCGTGACCTGCTGGCAGGGGTGTCTGCATGGCAGAGCATTTGAATTCCTGAACAGATTATTTACCTAACGGGATTCTAAGGGATAAACATTTCTACCTATTTCCCTTTTGCATGGGTTTGTAATCTGAACTGAGTAAAGGACTCCTGGCTCCTTTCAGAATCAGTGCAATTCGCTGTTTGCATGAATCAGCAAAGCTCTTGCCATGGCCTTCAAGCTTTCTTCTTCTTCTTCAGCTCCTTCCACCATGACTTATGAGACCAAGCATCTTCTTGCAGCTGCAGCACTGCTGGCTGTTACCCAACACAATACACCCATTTTTCTTGTTGCAGGTGGCCCTCATGCTGACAGGATGGGATCCTCAGCACGTGGACCATAGCCTTTCAAAAAATAATAAAATCCTGATGTTCTTCCTTGAGCACTGGCATATCTTTTTCTTCAGCAACATAAATCAAGTACTTTTCCCTCCCTTAGTTTTCAGAGGGCAGGCTTGAATCCATGCCCATGCTATCCTGTTCTTATCAGGCAATAATTCTTCATGCTCTCAGCAGCCTGGTTGTCCTTAATACAGAAAGATGAACAATGATTTCCTAGCACTTTCTCAATGCCTTCCCACCTTCTCCTGTTGATAAAACAGAGAACATCTGTACATTGGGTTTGCCTCATGCAGCTTGAGAGTGAGTCTGATTAAGATAACCCAGGGACCTAAATTTCATTGGGAACGAAGAGAAGACAGTAACAGCCACTGTGGGAAGCTACTGGTGTGCTGTCTGTGCTCCAGAAACAACCAATGAATGATTTATTTACTATGTAAAACCTACCTTGCTCTTTGCCCTCCCTGCTCTGTTGTCTGTGCTGGGGGTGTGTGAGTCAGTCAGATAGCGTGGATCAATTCACTGCTGTGGAGATCAGAGAAACCCACCAGTTGGACACAGTGCCAGGGCCTTCAACAACCCCAACCAGCCCACCTGGGACCCCTGCTCTCCCCAAGGCCACCATTCCCATTTAAATTCAGGCCTGGGGCTGCTTGTGGCTCCTGCCAACCCTGTGTGTTGAGTTGCTGGCCCTGGCTGGAGTGGGAACCAGGACATGCCATGAGGAAGGGTGCTGTGCTTGTGCAGGTTTAGCAATAAATGGTTGTCATTTTGTGTGCTGATGCACGTGCTTTCATTGTGTGTAGGCTGTAACTGGCTCCTCCCTTTGCAAAGCTTGCTGTGTGCAGCCCTGGCATTTCCTCCCAAGGATGGGCATGGGAAATGGTGCCTGCAGAGGCATCTCACAGCCTGTTTCCAGTCCTGGAAAGCTTCTGCAGATTAGGCATGGACCCTTTGCCCAGCATCACACCCCAAAATGCTTGAGTCACACACAAGCTTGCTTGGATGACAGATGTCCTCAAAGACAGGAAGAGGCTCCTGGGCAGGCAGGGTGGCTCACACCTCAGCCTCAGGAGAGAGCCTGTGAGGCTCCAGAAGCTGCTCCACATTGTCCCACCAGTGCCCCCGCAGCTGCAGCCCAGTGAAGCACCAGGAAAAGCCTGGCAGATGCAACTTCTCCTCCTGCTCTGTGTGTGTTCCTTGAAGACTGCGGAATTGCTTCAGAATTCCTGAAAGAGGCCTTTGGATGAAGCCTGGCTGAGTATCCCTCTCAAGTTCCCATCTCTGCCCCTGGGGCTCAGCCAGGCTGACTCTCTGACACCCTCCATGCTGGGAGTTAAACTTTAATACGAAGCAGGGGAGAGGAGCCCAGGGGTGACTCAGCCTCCCATGTTCTTGCCCTTCCCCTCCCTGCTGGGGAGGGCGGCGTGGCAGGACAGGGAGCGGGACGGGACACAGCAGGGAGCGCCTGCGACCCCGGGAGTGCCCCGGTGATGGAGCCCTGTGACCCACACGTGAAGAGAGTCGCTGTTGTCGGAGGTGGCCTGGTAGGAAATGCCCTTTAGCTGCTGCATGACTGTGTTTGCCAGGGAGCCGGGGCTGTAAAAGCCCTGTCTGAGGGTGGGTGGATGTTTGTCTCAAAATCATTCCTCTGGGGGATGACGGGGTGTTGGAGAGGGGCTGGTTTTGTTCCCACCGTGGGAGGCTCCTGTCCTTTTCCCAGAGGAAGGGGTTTGGGTGGTGGTGGAGCAATGGTGCCCAGGTGCATTAAACAACAGGACTTGCTTGGGCTGCCAGATCCCCCTGCCCCTTGGCTGTTTCCAGCTGTAACCAAGTCACCAGTGTGAAATGCTTTGCAAGGACTGAGACTCGGTAAATGCCAGGCTGAGAGGAAATGCCTTCCTCTGCCCACTTTTGTCTGGGAATGGTTTTCATCCCTGCCACTTGCAGAGTGGTCTGGCTCTAAAGGCCAGGCTGGACGGGGCTCTGAGCAGCCTGATCTAGTGTAGGGTGTCCCTGCCCAAGGCAGGGGGTTGGAATCAGGTGGTCTGTAGGGTCCCTTCCACCCCAAACCGTTCTGTGAGTCTATGATCTATGATAGCACGGAGCATTGCAGCACCTAACACCTCTCTCTTGACTTTGTGGCTTCTTGGAAAAGAGCGATGACAAAAAGAGTCTGCAGTTCTGGCAGCAATTAGCGATGGAAATCAAACAAGAAAAAATTGATTTAAATAACAAACAAGACATATTTGTGCTGTTCTCCCCCACCGTGTTCCCAAGGGAACGCTGCACAGCACCCTGAATTCTATTGAGGAAGATAAACAGTCCAGAGAGGAGCTGGGGGCTGGCCTGTCCCAGCTCCTGCTGTCTCTGGCTGAAGAGATTAACCCTGCTGCACTCAGTCACTGTGTGTAAACAAGCCTGAGCTTGGTATGACTTTATATGAAGAGTTTTGATGCGTGGCTTTGGTCTTGGAGGCTCTGCAGACACATCAGGTCTGCCAGAGGACTGCTCTTCAGTAAAAAGTCCTCTAAGGCTCTTGGTCAAAGGACTTACCTGTATATGCTGAGCTGCATCCCCTGATCCCTGCTTTCCCTTGATGCATCTCAGTAGTGAGCTGTGGGATACTTCACCCACTATTCCTGGCCCTTCTCTTGTAGGTGGGTGCATTAAATGCCTGTTTCTTTGCCAAACGAGGCTTCCATGTTGATGTTTATGAAGCCAGAGAAGGTAAGCTCAGCCTGATCATTACTGTGTGAGCTCACTGAAACCTCAGAAAAAAAAAAAAAGAAATCTGAAAGTGTGGCAGTTTGGGGATATTCTTTTCACTCTTGCCTTTAGCTCCTGGGGGTAGGGGGAGCATTTATTTGAAGTACGTTGTCTTGTGACTTAGAGCCGAGGTGCTGGCTGAAAGGCAGAGAAATCATTCACCTTCAGCACCTGCCAGCTTGGCAGACAAAGAGAACCTGGGCAGAGGTGGCAAGCCAAGCAGCAGGTGGGAATGGCCCCATGGAAGGTGAAACTCAAGCGTGCAGTGAAGGGAAGGAGAAGCCGCACCTGACACGTGAGCTCTGTGGGAACTCGTCCTGCTCCGGCAGGCATCAGGACGGGCAGTTCTGCTGCATGGCTCACGGCTGCCAGGAGTTCCACAGGTTCAAAAAGCCTCTGATTGCCTTCTGAGTTGGATGAATTTTACTGCTGTACCCCAGCTCTTGGCCCAGTGTTTATGCTGAGACAGCTAAAGGTGCCTTTTGACACTTGCCCTCCCTGCACCCAGAGCGGGAGGACAGGGACTCCCCACTGCCCCTCCTGCTGTCGCTGCGGGGGGTTGGGAGACGCTGCCCAGACCAGGCTGTGGCGCCAGTGCCTCCACAACCAACTGTTCTTCCCACACAGACATTCGGTTTGCCAGCTTTGCCCGTGGCAGAAGCATCAACTTGGCCCTGTCTCACAGAGGACGCCAAGCCCTCCGAGCTGTGGGGATGGAGGAGCAGGTACCCTGGCAGATCCTGGTGGGGGTGGTGGTTAAAACACTCTTTACTTCAGCTGGCAATTGGACAGGCTCTCTTCTGCTCCTCGAGCATGCAGAGGGAGCTCTGCCTTCGTCAGGGTGGAAGCAGAAATCTCCCAGGTAGATGTCTCCCAGGTAGATGTCTCCTGAGTAGATGTCTCCTGGGTAGATCTCTCCCGGGCAGACCCCTTCCACTGCATCCTGCAGCCTGGCTCTCCACTGCTCCACAGCACAGCTGCCAGCAGGATCTCCCCCAGCCTGGAGGCAGCACCCAGCCCCAGGCAGCTGGGCTCTGCTCCTGGCAGTGGGTGCTTCCCTGGCACACCAGACACTCAGACAACACCTACCAGTGTTTACCTCCCTTCTGTGCTCTCCTCCCTCCTGCAGGTGAGGGCAAACAGGGCACGAGTGGATGGACTCCCAAAAGAGCTGAGGCACTGAAGCAGGATGTGATAAAGGGGCCTGGTTTCTGCCCTGGCATGTCCAGATCTGTGTTTTCCCACAAAACCTTGATTCTGCAGGGTGCTTGGCTACCATTTAACACCCAGCTGTCGGCAGTGAGGGGATGTCCTCGCGCCCAGATCCCTGCAGAGGAGCCCAAGCTTTGACAACACACATCCCACTCCCAGGATGTAATTTGGCTGCCACCCTCTGCCCTGTCCAGCAGCCTGGGATTTTTCATGTCCCTTCTATCCAAAAATAATTTCCCCCTGGTTTTTATGAGAATGAGCTTGTAAGAAATCTCAGTAAGCTGTAGTGACTTGGCATGACAGCCCCGTAAAACTTTCCCCAAGGTATGAGCAGAGAGCACCCCATCCTTCCTCAAGCGCAGTGCACGGGGAGGGGCAGGGGTGATGCTTGGTAAATTGTATTAAAACCCCACACTTTTATCCAGAGGGCTGGGTTGTGTTCCCTTCTGTTTCAGATTGTGTCCAAGGGCATTCCCATGCGGGCAAGGAGGATACACACACCCTCAGGGAAAAAGTACTCTATCCCTTACGGGAAGAAGAACCAGGTACTGAAGAGGCTTTGCAGGGTGCAAGGGGCCTGTGCCTGGCATCTGTCCCTCTGTGCCATGGACAGTCTGGGGCTCACGCTCCTGCAGAGGATGCAGGAAGGGGATTGTGTGACCCCTGGATTCAGTGGGGCTGTTTGAAGGTAGGGGGAAGGGTTTCCTGTCTGGCCACGCAGAGCAATCCTTCAGCAGAACCTTGTGAACCCCCTGTCTGTTTGCCTTGCAGTACATTCTATCTGTGGACAGAGCAAACTTAAACAAAGAGCTGCTGACAGGCAAGTCATCACTTCTGTTTGCAAATATTTCTACACCCTTTTTTCCTGAGGATTTGGGGTTTGCCCCATAACCAGCAGGTTTTGGGCCCCAAGCTCCCTCACCTGGCTCTCAGAAAGTGCAAACCTGAACTAGCTGTGTTTTTAAAAGGAAAGTCTGTGCTGTTTCCCAGCTAAAGCAGGAGATGCCTCCTCGGCCTTGTCATAGTTTGTGGCATTTTCCATAACTCCTGATTGCACAAATAGAAATTGAACCACTATGGCCAAGTATATAATTGGAACGGGCCAAATTTCCAGTACTTACCCACAGACTGCAGGCTCCTCATCCCATCCTGAAATTCAGTGGAGTGGTGGTGGAAAGCAGTCAATGACTTGTGTAATTCTGGGGAAGAAAGAAATCTTTGCAGGATTCCTTGCATTTTTACATAGTTTTTACCAGAGTTGACCAGTCCCAGTGTGCCCTGCCTGCTGGCCCTTGCTCAACACAGCAAATGGCAAAACCCCCTATAATTTAGGGATCTCTTGGAAATATTTTTGGAGTCACAGTAAACCCTTCTACACTGAGCTGCCTTTTTTTCTTTTCACAGCTGCTGAGAAGTACTCCAACACCAAGCTGTACTTTGGCCACAAGCTCCTGGAGTGCAACGCAGAGCTGGGGACATTATCCATAAAAAGGTAATCCCTGGGCAAGCGTGGGATCCAAGTCTTGTGGTCAGTTACTTTCTGCTTAATCATTCACAAAACCTCAAACAGTTGAGCAACCTTGGTGTTGAAACTACTGTGTGTGTCTGTGTGTGTGTGTGGAGGATGTCCCTGCCCATGGCAGGGGAGGGTTGGAACGAGATGGGCTTTTAGGTGCCTGGAGTTACAGCAAGAATCACAGAATGCTTAGAGCTGGGAGGGGACCTTAAAGATCAGGTCGATCCAAGGGGGCTCTCTTTGCTCTAAGATCTGACCAGCAGACCTTGGAGGTCACCTACGACCTCATTGTGGGATGTGATGGAGCCTTCTCGACAGTCAGAAAGCAGTTCATGAGGCAAACGCGCTTTAACTACAGTCAGCAGTACATTCCTCACGGCTACATGGAGCTGACCATCCCTCCCAGAGATGGAGATGTAAGTGTGCCTATCCCAGAGGCTGCTGTGACCTTTGCAGGTTGGACCCCCTGCGCCCCCTTCTCATGCTGGCTCTGCCAGAACAGCTTTAGAGAAACTGATTTCTTCCCTGGGGTTCAGGAAAGGGATTAAACCTTTCCTGGGAGAAGGCAGGGATCTCTTCCTCTTCCAAAGGTTGGCACCTGGCTGCAAAAAACCTAGAGAGCCTGTCCTGGAGGCAGTGGGGTTAACTCTAACTCTGAGAGGTCCTGAGGGTATGGGAACATGTCTGAGAGGGTATCAGCAACTGCAAAGCAGCAGATTTTTTCCTATTTTTCCCATATTTCTTACCCTTTCCTCTTCCCCTGTGTCTCCCTGAAGTGTCAGGTACCAGATGGGGGACCCTGTACTTGTTGTGTCTTCCCATGGTACAAAGAATGGGAACTGGTGTCAAGGATACAAGGTGATTTTCTCTTCTCTTGCAGTTTGCCATGGAACCAAACTACCTCCACATCTGGCCGAGAAACACCTTCATGATGATCGCTCTGCCCAACATGGTGATAACCCACGGCCATGTTCCCTTGGGGCACGGGATGGGGCTGGTGGGGACGAACTGGCTGTGGTGGTGGGGACTGGGAGGGCCAAAAATCACAGAATAACAGACTCACAGGATCAGTTAGTTTGGAAAAGACCTCTGAAATCGTTGAGTCCAACCTGTGACCAAACACCACCGTGTCAACCAGACCATGGCACTAAGTGCCACTTGCAGGTTTCCTTAAACACCTCCAGGGATGGTGACTCCACCACTTCCCTGGGCAGCCCATTCCAATACATAATCACTGTTCCCTCCCCGCTGGGTCACTGCAATTGGCAGGTGACAAGCTGGGCACTCAGCTGCTGCTCCACGTGCCACGTGCTCCCTGTGGTCTCTGGGCTTCTTACTGACCTTCCTCCCTGGCTGGCAGGACAAGTCCTTCACCTGCACGCTCTTCATGCCCTTTGAGGAATTCGAGAAGCTCACAACGGGCGAGCAAGTGCTGGGTTTCTTCCAGACCTACTTCCCAGATGCCATCCCCCTCATTGGAGAGTAAGTGTCCTCATCTCCCCTTCTCTCTCATCAGCACAGCGCTGTGAAGCCAGGGAACAGATCACTCAGCCTTGGGCCCCGGTGATGGGGTTGTGATGGATCCCCCTGTGTGGACTCTCTCACTGCTGGGCAAATGGCACAAGGGCAACAGCACAGAGCTGGAGCATCCCACCCCTTCTGGGGGCCCTGGTAGCACTGGGGGCCAGGACCAGCCTTTCCAGTACATGTTCTCATGGCTGTGGCTCTGTTCAGTATGTCCTCATTTTGCTGCCAAGAGGGAAACCTCCCCAAGACAGTGGGAGCTCCAGCTCACACTATTAATGCTTCTGCTTTGCAACACAGCTATCTGTTACGGGATGGGCTTTTTCTGGCCTATATCAAGCTGTGTTTGGCAGTTTTCTTTCCTCTTAAGGCTTTATTGCAGGACTTCATAATAACTTAGAAACTCAGATATTCTCTGGTATACCCTTCCTACAATGACCAACACCCACCACTGCTCACAGTAAGAGGGGACCGAGATGTCAACACTCAAGTTGTGTGCAGAGCTTGAAACCTGCAGACAAAACCTTTGGTCCGTGGAGGAAAAGTTAATGAGACAGATTACCTGGCTCCCACATTTTTCCCAGCACAAATAGCCTAGGACATGGGTTTGGGTTTTGCATCCCAAAGCTGACAGTGCCTGCAGCCCTGGCTTCCTGAGCTGGAACGTGGCGTGACTTGCACTTCTCTCTTGTGGTCCCACAAGTGAAGTATCTGTTGTTTTGCCTGAAGGCAAGAGCTGAAGCACGACTACTTTGTGCTGCCAGCCCAGGCCATGGTGTCTGTGAAGTGCTCTTCCTACCACCTGGGGTCCCGGTGCGTGCTGATGGGAGATGCCGCCCACGCTGTCGTGCCCTTCTACGGACAGGGCATGAACGCGGTAGGTTCGTGCTCTGTGTTAGTGGGGTCCCCGCTCTTTTCACCCACAGATTCCTGCTTTTAGTGTGCAGCCCCAAAGAGTTCATGGGCTGGCCTGTCCCACAGCCTGATGTCCTCTGCATTGGCAGGTGTTGAGCTCCAGTCAGGGTGTCCCCCTGGGGAGGAGAGTGGACAGGGCCCTGGTGCCACCTTCCCATGGGGCAGAGGACTGTGTGGGAGGGGGTCCAGCCTACTGGGAAAGGCAATCCCCCCGATTTCTCTCAAGACCCCTGGCAGAGTGGCCTGCAGTACGGCTCCTGCTCGGAGGCTGTAGTTAGTGGGACCAAAAGCTACACTAGCTAAGCATTCATGAGAGCACTTCTCATGAACACGTGGCTCCTTACCCCTATTAACCCCCGAATTTTCCTCCCAGGGTTTTGAAGATTGTCTGGTCTTTGATGAATTAATGGACCAGTTCCACAATGACCTTGGTGAGTGAGGTGGCTGGGGAAGAGTGGGAGCAGAGGAACACCCCTCCGAGCCCGAGGGCAGCCGGATATCCTGCAGGGAGCCACCTGTGAGCTGTTGCTTTCTCCTCCCAGGTGCCTGCCTCCCCGAGTTCTCCAGACTGAGGGTACCAGATGACCACGCCATTTCAGATTTAGCCATGTACAACTATGTGGAGGTAGGACATGCACACAGCAGCGCTCCCAGGATGCTCAGAGCAGGCAAGGCCCCTGGCAAGACTCTGTCTGGGCGCTCACCCTGGCAGACTTTATCCCCAGAACTCCTTGGGAATGCCACTGGGGCTAGGGAGGCTCTGGAGGTGGGAGGCAGTGGGAGAGACAGCAAAGCGCCGGGGGGGCTCTGCCAAAATTCCCGGCGAGGGCGTGACTGCCGCTCCGTTGCAGATGCGCGAGCACGTGAATTCCACGTGGTTCATTTTCCGGAAGCACGTGGACAACTTCCTCCACGCCCTCATGCCCTCCACCATCGTCCCGCTGTACACCATGGTAAGGCCAGCGTGTCCCCACCGCCTGGGCCGCCTCCCGGCCGCCTTTCGTGGTGGTGACACGCTCCTGCAACCCTCCCAGGTGACCTTCACCAGGATTCGCTACCATGAGGCCCTTCAGCGCTGGAAATGGCAGACAAAGGTTGGTCGAGGGTGCCCTGGGGAGCATCCTGCACGCCAGCACTGCTCAGCTGCCGGCAGGGGGGAGCCCTGGTGGTGGGATATCGCCGGTGCTGCAGGGTAGGAGCAAACCTCTGACGATGCCGAGGTTTCCCTTTGCGCTTGCAGGTAATTAATCGAGGGATCTTTGTCGTGGGGGCAGCAGGGCTGGGGGGCACCTACCTGCTGGTAAAGCGTCTGGCACGGAACTTGGACCTCTGCGTGGAAACCTTGTGGGGCTGGTCCCATTACCTGAAGAACATTGGAAATCTTCCCTTTGGCACGCAGGTGGCTTGAATGTGAGGGAGGCTCCTTATAATAAAGCAAAGGCATGGGCTGTTGGCTCTCCAGGGGCTCAGGTGTGTATCTGCCCCATCCCTCCAGTGCTGTGGTGTGCAGATGTGGTGCTTAGGGAGGTGGTTTACTGGTGGACCTTGCAGTGCTGGGTGAACAGACTCGATGACCACTTTTCCCAGCCTCAGTGATTCCGTGATTCTGTGACCTGATCATGTGCCAGCCCGCACTGCAGACTGCTGCTCTTACCAAAATCAAGCTGACATCCTGGGGGTCCTCAAGCCAGAAATAGCAGCAGGCTGGGATCCTGCTGCAAGGAGTATCAGACACGCTTTCCTTCTTCTTACCTGGCCCTAGACCCTCACAGTCACTGCTGAACAACAACAAAATGGCCAAAACTAACCCGTGATCTGAGGCAGCACAGCCACTCTTGTTTGATTGAGGTGGTTTACGTACAGCTGCCAGCAGCTGGGCAGGGACAAAGAACTGCTCTGCATCATTCAGCGAGTCGGTTTGGGCTTGCAAGGGAGCACCTTTCAGGGCATAGATGGCAAATTATTGTAGATGACAGCTTGTTTCTCTGGCCAGCATCTTTCCCAGGCACTGTAGCTATGGGAGATGGCAGCAGCAATGACAGGGTGTGGCTGTAGTTTCTCCAGTGAACACCTCAGCTGCTGCCCTTGCACTTAATTCTTAGCAGGACAGATGTATTCACTTTATATATTAAATCTTTATTCATGATAAACCCCATTCAGAGAGCAAATGAAGATGCGACACAAGACAACCGTATGCAAATTAATCCCAAACTGAAAGCAAATAAGGAACGGTACCGCTGTTTCACAGGAGCAACCCCACAATGGAAGGGCAATTGGCTGCTGTGGGTGATTGGGATAAGTGCTGAGCTGGAGATGCTCTGGGCACTGCCAGATGTTTTGCACAGCTGGTTCTTGGTATGTCTGATGGGCTCGCAGAGCAGGGAGATCACGCCCTGAGGGGTGGTGGAAGAAGCTGTGTCTGATCTCCAACCTGCAGGGAATTTTTCAGCTGCTCAGTGCCAAGGTTTCATAGATCAAACGGTGGCTCTTTTGCCTCCTTGCTGTGAGGAGGACTTCAAGGCATGATGGAGGTAAGCCAGGCGTGCAGGAGCCCAAGCAGAACCTAGCCTGAGGTAGGTCTGAGAGGAGTGACACCATGAAACAGTCGATGATTTAGGAAAAAGATTCAGTGCATGCTCCCCAGCTGCTCTCCATCCCTAGGTACAGGTGCCCACTAGCCCTTAGGGCACATCGCATCACTGCAACCTCCGGAGCAGATTGCCAGCCTGGAGGACCCTCCACATCCTACTCAGCAGGGAGTTCTTTGGAAGCCAGTGCATAATGGTGGAGACCAGTTCAGCAAGGGAAGGGCATGGAGCAGCCTAGGAGCAGATCCTGCTGGAGCAGAAGAGGCGTGGCAGTTTTGAAATCCCAGCTCAAACTCAGAGCTGGAAGCACTCTGTGAGCTCTGCTGGCTTTGAGGCTCCTGGCAGAAGGCAAAGTTAGCATCAGGAGGTGAGACAGTCAGTGTCCAGTCCAGGAGCTGCTGCACATTCCCATGGTGAGGCCTGCTCTGCAGTCCCATCCACAGCAAAGCTGTGTCTGTTCCCTTCTCCCATCCCCACCAACCCCACCCTCGAGCACTAGGCCAGGACACTGGCACGATGCAGTCCCTCAGCCAGCACCTGACACGGGAGAAGGGAACAAACCACGAGGATAAAAGAAGAGGAGGTGGGGGCCTTAGTTTAAGATTTCCTTCGTTTGAGGTTTCTTTAACTTGGCATTTCCTTATTTAACAGTGGGTCCCAGCGCTGCCAGCCATTGCCTCATTCGTTAAACCTGGGGTTGACAACAGTGGTGGTGGCACTCTTGAAGAGGGGGTTATCAGCCTGGAGGGAGAGAAGTGAGAGGCTTGTGTTGTGCTGTGTTGCCTGCCCAACCCCTCCCGATGCCAGCAGCACAGGCAGCACTGGCAGAAGAGCCCACAGGCTGTTTAGCGCCCTCCAAACCCCAGCTGGGCTGAACAACAGGCCAGAGGGGAGGGCTCAGGTCTACCTGGCTACCTCTGGGAAGGACGTCCCCTCCTCCTGTCCCCACCCCAGGGGTACGTGACCATCCCAGCACACCCCAGTGCCACGGACGGGCTCTCTTACGTCATTCCACTTGGCTTTGGACTTCTCCTTCTCAAACCGGCGGTACTCCCGGCGGTCAAACAGCTCTGTCAGGCACCGCCAGATGAGCAGGATCACCAGGCCAATGAGGACCACGGCAGCGATGGTGCCGCCCACAATCAGCGCGATGTTGGGAGGCTCCGGGCACTCTGTGGGGCAGACAGACCGTGTCGGGATGCAGCCCCCCGAAGCAGCGAGGCCGCCGTGGCAGGGTAGGGAAAGCGGGGGCTGGGGTACCTTTTTCAGGTTCGACGTAGACGGTGTATATATCCTCACCGTCCTCCTGGAACATCTGGAAAGAGATCCAGCAGTTCTGGGAGTCCTTCTCCCTGCATTTCCTGCCGCCCTCGATCGGCTTGTCGGACTTGTGGATGGTGGGGCAGGCCTTGGAGCAGTTCTTCGCGAAGGGGCCGGTCCCGGAGGTCTTGCACTCCTCACAGGCGCTGCAAAACAAGCAGCCACAGCTCCCGTCTGCAGGGGCAGAGACACGCTCCCCCGGCTTTGGCCGCAGCTGGGCTCTGCCCAGGAACAGGCAGGGCTTGCCTGAGAGATGGGGGGTCTCTGCTGCCCCCGTGCCCTCTCCGTGCGCGTCACTCACACGTATCTGCCACAGGGTGAAGGGCAGCTGGGGCATTCCTGGCAGAAGGGGGGCTGGTACTCGCCCCGGCACTGGCAGCGGTTGCAGAGGCAGGTGCCGCGGAGGCTGCACAGGTTCTTGCGGGCGTTCAGGCAGCCGTCTGTCGACTGCCGGCACTGGCAGGCGCTGCCCTCGTAGCCAGGCGCGCAGATGCACTTCCCGCAGTCGCATTTCCCGCGCTCTGGGGCGGGGATTGGGAAGACCTTTCAGATCCTGCAGCCGCCCGGGTGACCCGCCCTGTGCCCCGCGCATCACCGTGGAGAGCATCACCCGCCCCGCGCTCGCCGTGCCGCCCACCCTCTGCGGGATGCTCAAGGAGCATCCTCCGGGCTGGCGCGGCGGGACCCAGCAGCCCCCAAACCCACCCCCTCGGGTCGTGACGTGAAAAGGCAGCACCTCCCCGGGCATTTAGCTCTCCTGAGCAGCGCATCACCTGGTCCGCCGCAGGGGAAGCCGTTGTAGAACTCGCAGTCCACGTTGTCGCACTGGCAGTAGGCGCCGTAGATCTCCTTGCCGGCCACGTCGCCGGTGTGGCAGAGGCACTGCCCGCACACGCAGTCCCCCAGCCCCGAGCAGATCATCGAGCTGTTGTCCTTGCGGCAGCTGCTCTCCAGCTCCTTGCTGCTCCTGCCTTTGGTGTCGCACTCGCAGTTCTTCCCCGTGTAGCCCGGGTTGCAGCTGCCGCCAAAAGGGGAGGGGGTGAGCTCGGCTCGGCGGCCACGCGAAATGCCGTGGGGCCTAAACCTCAGCCACGACAGAGCAAATCGGGGACAGCCCCACAGAAAACCGGCGCTGGTGAGCATGTTGGTGCTAACTCCATGCTGCAGCAGGTGGTTGACTGGGAGGAAACCTCAGAAATGCTGCTCCCCCCTGCCCCTTCTCATATTCACAACACCAAATGGTTGCCCAAAATTACTGTTATAGTTTCCAAACCTTGCCAAAGAGATCTGAGTATTTCCTGAGGAAACCCAGTCTTTTCCTCTCCCTGTCACTGAGGGGCTGTGAAGCAATAATTATACTTAAAGCCTTAAGTGAACTGAAGACCAGAAGTGTGATTTTGAGAGATTTCTACAGAAACCTGTTGTCTGCTCAGTAGGTGGGTTGGTGGATGCTTTGATATTGAGATGGATGGTTGCATAGCTGGATGGATGGAGGTCCTTGGGAAAGCAGCCTAGGCTCCACCAACAGAAGAGGCAGCTCACTGTGTCCCCTGCCTCTGTCAATGCAGGGGACAGTTCCAAGGGGAATGCATGAATCGACTTCTCCAAATTAAAAAAAAACCATGCAAAGCTGCAGAGCCCAGGCCCTGGCTCGGCCCAGCATCCCCCTCCCAGCAGCTCCCCAGATCTGGCAGCATTTGAAATAGTGTTTTGGGTGTTGGTGCACATACCTGCAGATCCCACAGACAATGCTGCCCTGCCCGCTGCAGGCAGCCGGGTCGGGCTGCTCGTCACAGCGGCACTCACAGTTGCTGTCCACGTGGACAGTCAGGGTGTCTGTGAAGCCCAGGGGCCGGATGGTGAAGGACTGGCTTTGGATGCACTCCTTGGCTGTGACCTTCACTTTGAAGGTGACCTAGAAAGCGCAGAGCGAGACAGAGAAGGGCCAGAAGCTCAGCTATCGGAGGGTGCTGAGGACACGCACATCCAGCGTGGAGGATCCCCCCCATCCCACAGCATTTTGGACACTCTTGGCATTAAATTAAAGTAGACAGAAAGCCTGGAAGAGCATCCAGCGTTCCTGTCATTAAACAGGATGGGCATCAGGAACTGTGCAAGCTGTGGGGTGTTCCTGAGCAAGAGCACACACCTCATCATTGATCTTGACATTGTTACACTGGCCTCTTTCTCCGTCCGTGGTGTCCTGGTTATCACTGCATTTGGAGTCATATTTGACATCCAGGACATCTGGCAGGGTGGAGTGGTCCAGGATGATCTGCGAGGACAGGTTCTGTGGGAAAATGATGGGGAAAGTGCCATCAGGCCAAGAGGAGAGCAGAGCAAGGGGGTGTGGGGTTGCAGGTCAGGGTTCCCTCCAGCCCAGAGAAAAAGGGCAGGGAGCACTCCAGGCCGGGATCTCAGCTGCATGGAGTGGTTCTGGCATTGGAGAGGTGGAAACTGCAGCACTTACATTGTAGGCCACCTGGATGAGTTCAATGATGTTGCTGGAGTCCTCGTTCAGCTCTCCCACCGCCGACTTCGGGATCATCTCACTGAGTT